AGAATAAAACTCAGTAATTTTAGAAAAACCCTAAGAAAAAAATAACGAAGAAACTAAGTCCTTAAATAATATACAAGAAGTTAACCATGAGAATCAAGAAAGCTAAGATTAAAATGATCATCAACTTTAAGATTAGTAAATCAATGAATAAAATTATCTGGTAGCTTAGAGGAAATAGATTGCTTTTGAATCACAAATCAAAACTTAGTTTTAATTCTAAAGGTTATATAAGCAGCCAGTTAAACGATAACTAATATTACTTGAATAAGAAGAATCATAGGATGAATATATTAATGAAATTGATAGAGAATAAAATCTAAAGGACTAACAAGTTATTAATTAAATGGTAGGCTAATTAAAGCTAAATATGCTTCAATAGTAGGTTTTTAAAGATTAATAAAGTCGTTAACTCAAACTAAGAAATTTTAATTTTAAACTTAGTAAAAATGAATTAAAACTAGTTAAGTAAGCTTAGAGGGATGAAATAAAAATAAGGTAGGAGGCTAAGAAAAAAAGACATCAAAAAAATCAGGATAAAAATCGGGAAAAATTTCTTAGCTATTTAAAAAATTACTATAATATGTTAGTACAATTCTCCAACTTATCAGTTACAGATGATAATGATATTAAAGGTGATTTTAACAGTAGCTTTAAGGAGCAATCTAAAGTATAAAATCAGTAATCACTTCAATCTTTAACTTCAACTCAAAAATAAATAATTATGACAAAAACATATCCTAAAATCACAGAACTAATTGAAAAAAACTGGAAACTTAAAGAAATCACTAAATAATAAGTTTTTGGCTTTAAATTTTAAGAAATAAATCAAGAGAATATCATTGAAAATAAAATAGCTTCAAGATATAAACTCAGACAAAATAGAATGTCAACCTTACATAATGATAATTACTACTATTAAGAATATTATATGAATGGACAGCTCAATAAAAGTAAAACATAAAAATACCAAGATCTTGAAATTGTATTCGAGGAATAGTATGAGTTCAACTTGACTATTATTGATTAAAATTAACTTACAAAGCTTTAGTAATTAATTGAAGACGGTTTTTATTTGATCCAAAAGAAATATGGGATTCAAGATTTTCAATTAAACCTAGACTCAGTATTTCCTAGCATTGACTACATATTATATTGCTTCCTTCATGGTAATTTATTTATGTCATCAAAGTATTTATTCTATAGAAGTTAAAAACCCTTATGAAAGTAGCAAATAGAACAAAGATGTGATAAAAATTAAACTAGCCTATAATTACTTGATTGATATTTGGGCCTTATTTGATTTCTCTCATTTCAAAAAGGTGCAATTGATACTGAAGTTGCATGATGGGAATGATCACTAGGACATTATGATTGAAGATGTTTTACATGCTTTTGAAATTAGTGAGTTAATAAATTTATCATGATATAAAATCATTATTATCATTAATTTCATTGCTTTATTATTTAATTTATCTAGAATAATTGATGACGGGGTTTTGGGGTTTTGGGG